CTTACATATAAATAAGAACTGGTATTCTGGTCTAAGTCTTTCCGAATTGGCCCGTTCGGAAAATCCCGAAGGGTGATTTTCCTAGCAAAGATCCCATTTTATACCTGTGATCTGCGTGACAAATCGTGTTACTAATATTTAATATACGTATCAGATATTGATCTGTAGATTATCACATTGAAATCATTGAAATCCGCCCATATGTAAAAAAAATCCTAACTTAAACCAGACACCCTAACCCTACTGTTGTAAAAAAAACATTAATAATGCATTTAGATACATTCATGGTAAAAAAAAAAAAAACGGTTTGATTGGTTTAAAAAAAGTTTTAAAACCGGCACTAAAATTTAACTGAAACGGTTAATTTCAAGCTCCCGTATTTCTTATATATTAAAACATATTAAAACGAAAAAACATGATGGCGATTATAATGAGGCTTTAACGCCATATGTCGCAGTGTTAAAGAATGATTTTATATCTGATATACGATGTACTATACGTACTTCGATTAAATAAATTTTAAATCACGATATACAGATTAAAAAATTTTTATTCTCGCAGAGACGTTACATCAAATTATTTAAATAAAATACACAATAACTTCTTGAATCGTAAATCAAATTAAATTAATTTAGAATTAGATCATATACTAAGTACTGTATACAAATTTTTTTTTATATTAATTTTTTATATAACAGATAAGTATTAATGTTCAGAGATTCTAATACGGATACAATCATCTTGAGAACCGCGTTTAGCAACTGGCATAATAAGTGGTTGATGTGAGAATGATGCAGCCATGGTACATATTCTGTAAAAACCAGCCTCGGTTAATTTTAAAGTTTGAGATAAAGTTCCATCTACAGCTTTAGCATTTAAACCTTGGAAAAAAGCAAATGTTCGGGGATCCGGAGGATTATCAGGAGTAGCTTTGAGACCCAAATATTGGACAGTGATATGAGAATGTCCTTCAATTTTTCCATTTTTATCAAGTGTTTGTGAAAAGCTGTAATATTGTGTTTCTGGGTTGCTGAAGAATCCAGTGTGAAGATTTATAATTTTAACTTCAACAGTGAAGTTTTTATTAATTGGCAAGGTTTGTCCGAATTCAGGTTTAGTGATTATTGTGGAGGTCATATGGTTTACCGTTGGGATCTGTCCCAATGCAGTCTTTGAGCAAGATGCAACATTTGCAATTTGAGTACCATTTGCTGGGGTAAGACCAGTGCAGACATCTTTTGCATCGACAGATGATATTAACGAAATTAAAAGGATTGATAAGATGGTTCCAATAATAATTTTCATTTTTTTTTTATATTTGAAAGATAAAATATAAAAAATGAGTAAGAATCGAGTCAAGAATATTAATTATCAAAATTAATATTTTTCGAGTGAAGATGTCAAAGAAAATGATATTGTAGAGGTCAACGCTATGGTTTAAATATAAGTTAAAACGCGCATGAATTTTAGGTTATCAGACATTTTTACATCAAACATTCGTATAATCGGTATGGGAAGATAACCAGTGGCAAAAATTGGTTTTCAGCACATGATATTCGAACAATTATCAGCCGTTTTTCGTTACAGATCGATTATGAAATTTCACATAAAAAATGCGGAGTCACATTAATTCTTAGTCATATATGTCATTCAAGATTATAGATGGATATTATAACTTATATAAACTTCGCGATTTTCATGATGATAAGGTGCATGATGCCCATCTCTATTCAAAATCGAATTACCATGTGTTAGCTTAGTAACCACCAGAATAAGAGATTTCTTTTTATAAACACATTTTTGGAAAGGAAATTTATTAAACCTTTATTATATAAAATTGAAAGATTTATACGTACCTGCTTTTCTTTCATAATATATTTTATATTATTAACTGAGAAATTGGTACATATCGGCCAATTTGCAATGTTTGAGTTAGATTTACATGTGAGCATTAACCAATCAAATTGCATATTATTATATATACTAAAGTTATTTAGGAAAGTTATACTATCAGCTATTAAATATATAATGTGCTAAAACCTATACCCTTACCCTAATCTAGTTTTTTATAGTTATTGTATGGGTTGTAGTGAATAACCCAGTTACACACGGGTTCATATTCCGTGCCGAAGGCACGGGAT